AGCTGTCCCACGATCCCACAGATCAGGTGGAGGAATGAGAGTCATTTATCCAGCATAGCTGGATAGTATTTCATATTAGAAAATAAATATGTATTTTCTAGTGATAAAGAAAATAAGCATCTGGCTATATACAGTAGGTGTTACTTATCCTAAACAAACACTAAATGAGTTCTCTCAAAACCTTTTCTGTTAAGGTTTTGAAAAGACATACGTATGTAAACTATTTATTAGTTAACATTAGCAACCTCACAGATGGCTTTCTTTGGCTAAATGAGGGATTCTGCAATTCCCCACAGAAAATAGCATAGTGAAGCACTATGAAGAAGCAATTTGTGCATTCGTTCAAAGGCCATCAGACCAAATCCAGCTGTAAATTAAAAATAAAATCTAAACATAATGAGCAATACTAATGAAACAGTGTCATAAAAAGCTGAAAGCTGAATTTAGAGATCAGCTTTGAATTTTCAATTTACAAAGCTTTTGAATGGTTATTGCTACTGGTGTGGAAATTGCATTACTGTCTATCACTGAATGCTTAGTTTATTGTATCCAATTCTAAAGGTAGTTATGCAATCACTCCCCAAAGTATTTGCTGAATTGATATGAATGATCTCGTATAAAATACATAGTAAAGTAGTCACTGGGATCTTACTTAAGTAGACAGAAAACAAAATCAAAACATTGACGTGTGTGGAAAGTTGTTAAGCCTTCTCTGGGAATATACAGCAGAAGATGTGTTTCCAGTTTCATACAACCTTTTTCTATGTTTAGTTTAGTTGCTCTAGTCTACAAATAATTAGAATTCATTAATATGATGAAGCTGTTACATTACATTATTTGTACTATACACAGTAGTGTGTTCATCAGTAGTTAGGGCAACAGCGTATTATAATAGGAAGCTAAGAGATTTCACTAGTAGGGCAAAGAGCTTTTATATTAGGAGGAGGCAAAGTTGTATATTTAAAATACAGATAAAGTAAAAGGGTTTGCTATGCAAAGAGGTACCTTTGTTAATGTATGTATAATGTATACAGCATAAAATACAGGGCTGTTACACCAGGAGGATAACTCCTGGTTGTCCTCCTGGTCTGGTGGTAAAGGTACAGGACTGTTACAGCAGGAAGATAGCTGGTCAGTGGTTAAGATACAGGGCTGTTTTACCAGGAGGACAGCTGGTCCAGTGGCTAAGATACATGGCTGATCACACCAGGAGAACAGCTCATCCAGTCGTTAAGATACAGGCCTGTTACACCAGGAGGACAGCTGGTCCAGTGGTTAAAATCAGCTAAGATCCCTTAGCTGTTACATAAGGGAGGAAAGCTGGTCCAGTTGCTAAGACACAGGGCTGATTACAGCAGGAGAACAGCTCATCCAGTCATCATGATACCGGACCATTACACCAGGAGGTCAGCTGGCCCAACTTGAGTCTACCATTGACCTGAGAGTCAAGATAAATTTTTTTCTGCTCTGTGTTTCAGATGAATGTTAAACCACATTTCTGTTTTTAGCAGCTCTGAGGTAGGCTTCACAGCTGAAATTTTGTGTTTCTTTTTTTCTCTTTTCAGCATGGAATAAACCTTTACTTGTTCTGTGAAAATACCATGGATTTCACCAAATATGTTTGTTCTACTTAACGTAAAGCTGTATAAATGTTTAAATGGATTTCAGTTGGATTTGTAATAACATCAAGATTAACTGAGAACAACAGAATCTTTAATGAAAGTTACATAATAAAAATATACCAATATCTTTATATTGTTTTAAAAAGCAGCAATATTAAATTCAAGTTATTTTTATATAGCACCTTTCACAACAAGGTTGCCCCAAGGCACTTAACAAAGCAAGTGACCTTACATGTTGTGAATACAGAACAGAAAAACCAGAAGACAACAGAGGAGTGGGACCAAAAACTCTAGGGGTCCAAGGTCAACAGGTTGCTCAACCCCTTTGGGCATGCTAACATTATACAATTAAAAAAGGAATAAATTTAATATTCCCATCCAGTGATGAACTGGATAATATTTATGCCCAAGGGAATGATCAGATATCAAGTTATGTTTTTAAAGTACTTTTTATGAAAGCATAAAGCAAAAAAACAATTTCATTTGTGTTCATTAAAAAAAATAAAAATGAACTGAACAATTGTGGGAGGTAAATTGCTCATCAGTTTATTAAGGTAATTTATGAATTAGAATATGAGACATAGAGTATTCACTACAACCACAGAGCTGCTAAACAGAAACTTGGTTTAACATTCATCTGGAGCACACAGAAGAAAAAGTTGTGTTGACTTGAGTTGGGCCAACTGACTTCCTGGTGTAATGGTCCTGAAACCACTGGATCAGCTCTCCTTCTGATGCAACAGCTCTGTATCTTAACCACTGGACCAGCTGTCCTCCTGGTGTAACAGTTCTGTATCTTAACCACTGCACCAGCTGTCCTCCTGGTATATCAGTCCTGTATCTTCACCACTGGACCATCAGCCAGTGCCAGTATTGTATTGCATGTGTTCTATATGCAAACCTAAGGTGACTGGTACACTAATCTCTTAGACAAAGAAAGTCTTAAGCACATACAGTGCCTTGCGAAAGTATTCGGCCCCCTTGAACTTTTCAACCTTTTGCCACTTTTCAGGCTTCAAACATAAAGGGACACAATTGTGAAGTGGAACGAAATCTATTGGATTTTTGAAACTTTTTTAACTAATAAAAAAATGAAAAGTGGGGCGTGCAAAATTATTCGGCCCCCTTGCGTTAATGCTTTGTAGAGCCACCTTTTGCTGCGATTACAGCTGCAACTCGCTTGGGGTATGTCTCTATCAGTTTTGCACATTGAGAGACTGAAATTCTTGCCCATTCTTCCTTGCAAAACAGCTCGAGCTCAGTGAGGTTGGATGGAGAGCGTTTGTGAACAGCAGTTTTCAGCTCTTTCCACAGATTCTCGATTGGATTCAGGTCTGGACTTTGACTTGGCCATTCAAACACCTGGATACGTTTATTTGTGAACCACTCCTTTGTAGATTTTGCTGTATGTTTGGGATCATTGTCTTGTTGGAAGATAAATCTCCATCCCAGTTTCAGGTCTTTTGCAGACTCCAACAGGTTTTCATCCAGAATGGTCCTGTATTTGGCTGCATCCATCTTCCCCTCAATTTTAACCATCTTCCCTGTCCCTGCTGAAGAAAAGCAGGCCCAAACCATGATGCTGCCACCACCATGTTTGACAGTGGGGATGGTGTGTTGAGGGTGATGAGCTGTGTTGCTTTTACGCCAAACATATCGTTTTGCATTGTGGCCAAAAAGTTCGATTTTGGTTTCATCTGACCAGAGTACCTTCTTCCACATGTTTGGGGTGTCTCCCAGGTGGCTTGTGGCAAACTTTAGACGAGACTTTTTATGGATATCTTTGAGAAATGGCTTTCTTCTTGCCACTCTTCCATAAAGGCCAGATTTGTGCAGTGTAAGACTGATTGTTGTCCTATGGACAGACTCTCCCACCTCAGCTGTAGTTCTCTGCAGTTCATCCAGAGTGATCATGGGCCTCTTGGCTGCATCTCTGATCAGTCTTCTCCTTGTCTGAGCTGAAAGTTTAGAGGGACGGCCAGGTCTTGGTAGATTTGCAGTGGTCTGATACTCCTTCCATTTCAAGATGATCGCTTGCACAGTGCTCCTTGGGATGTTTGAAGCTTGGGAAATCTTTTTGTATCCAAATCCGGCTTTAAACTTCTCCACAACAGTATTACGGACCTGCCTGGTGTGTTCCTTGGTCTTCATGATGCTCTCTGCGCTTTCAACAGAACCTTGAGACTATCACAGAGCAGGTGCATTTATACAGAGACTTGATTACACACAGGTGGATTCTATTTATCACCATCAGTCATTTAGGACAACATTGGATCATTCAGAGATCCTCGCTGAACTTCTGGAGTGAGTTTGCTGCACTGAAAGTAAAGGGGCCGAATAATTTTGCACGCCCCACTTTTCATTTTTTTATTAGTTAAAAAAGTTTCAAAAATCCAATAGATTTCGTTCCACTTCAAAATTGTGTCCCACTTGTTGGTGATTCTTCACATAAAATAAAAAATTTATATCTTTATGTTTGAAGCCTGAAATGTGGCAAAAGGTTGAAAAGTTCAAGGGGGCCGAATACTTTCGCAAGGCACTGTACAGTATCCCTATCAGTGGTACTGTCAAACTAATGCAGGTCTCTATCCCAAATAGAAATAACTGGGAGGGGACTCATTTTAGACGGAAGAAATTAATATGGAGAAGAGAACCTTTTATTGTGAAACTAGCAGTTAAGGCTTTCTTCCACTTGTTAATGTAAAGCAGATTAGACTTTTTTCCTGTTTCCAGGTAAGATGTTCTGCTAGAACAGGGTTTGAAAATACCAATAACATATTACTTAAGTGCTGTATCTTTTAGCTGTGATGCTTCACTTTCTGATGCAGTAAAATTCCTACCTACTGTATGTCTTTGTACCATTAATGGGTGATCCTTGAAGACCCCTTTAGACTCCAAATGGGGTGAAGTACCAACAAAAAAATATACTAAGCATTTTGACCTATGTGCAAATATGAAATTATAAACCAAATATCTGAAGGAGCTTTCCATTTCCTAACTTATTGTGGCATTGGGGCTGAAGTTTTATCTGGACAAATGGCTATGATTATGATCAACAAAGACCCCATCTAGAACAAAACAAAACAAAAACAGAAGAATGAACACTGTTATTTTTCTGTGGTGTGAAACAGTTTGAGGCCAAAATATAACTTAGCTTCTTCTTTGGCTTCCAAAGATGACCTTGTAGTTGTATAACTCTTCTCACTTGCCATGTGTCATACAGGGGTGGTGGCTCTTGCATAGAAGAATTTGTGATCTTACAATAGATATGCAGAGTGAAACAAAGCAGCATTCCCCCCCCCCCCCAAAAAAAAAAACCCAAAAACAATCTGGTATCTTATGTGTAGAAAATGAAAATGAATAACTCTTACAGAGAAGTTTCAATTATAACAAGTAAAACTTTATTGGAATGATACTTAATATGTTGCAAAATATTACAGACGTTTTGTTGTATTTTTCTGTGTTTGCTGTTTGCTAAGGTTCTCTGCCATTCTGGATGGAAGAGAGGGCAGAAGAATTAAGACTGTGAAAGGCAGAGAAGATTAAACAGCAGTCTTTCCCACAGGGGATGACAAACTGCACACCAAAACTTTATTAATCTCCGGAGGAAACAATTATGTGATTGTAAATACACTTACAAAATATGAAAAAAAAGAAAAAAATACTTTATTTATTGGTTTAAAAAGTAAAACATTTTTGCTTTAACAATATATTGGAAACAGGTGGTATTTCCAATGGAGAAGGAGAAAGCACAGAGATGCTGAAAAAATGACACTGAAAACAGCATAAAAAGAGGCGAGAGGGAAGTGAAAGGATGAAAAATAAGGTGCTAGGCTGATGAAACCAAAATTAAAAACTTGGCATCTCCGTGCCCTTTACACATCTGCAAGTGAGATTCTTGCCTGATATCAATCTTGCCTTCCAACAACCCCACTTTAAGCAAAGGAGGACTTATGTCATAACAAAGAGAGCACTTTCCTTAGTTAACCAGAATACACAAGAACAGTAAAACTTTAAAATAATGCATTAAAATGGTCTTCTTGTACAATTCAGCCTTTTATACAAAGAATATTTTAAAGTCATGTGAGGACTAAATGAATTCATGTGAGAAGAACATAACTGAATAGCAAAGAATATTTATGACTGGTAAAAGAAGAAAGGAATGGGACTAATTTCTGATTTTCCTGCATTGTGAGCAACATTATTTTAAATCAAGCAATGCGTGTCAGTCTGGCAAACAGATACTCAACATAAATTGGTTTCCAAAGATAAAATCCTCTTTGAACAACAGAGTAACTGGTCTTTGGAAGTAGACCGCCTATAAAACAAGGAATTAATTCAGGACATTCCTCATTACAGGGCTGCAATGGGCATACATACAATAATACAGGAAGAGAGCCCCCTTATGGTCATGAAAGAAATTGTTTTCAGTTAACTTCTGAATGAAACATGCAACCGTAAGAACTGACAGAAACTTGACTTTCAGCATTGAACTGAATGCATTTCCAGATTTTACCCAGATGTTGAACATATTATGTGAAACCAGACTCACATAATGCTAAATGGTTGTTTTTCAGGAAGGCATTCAGCAAAGAGTCACAGTAACATTACTAAAAGACTCTCCTTCAAAATATATATTTTAAAAGACTGCCTATTCTAAAAAGAAAGTACTAAATAATATACAGAATTCAGTCCATTTTTCTTTAAAGAATTCTCAAGAATGCTACATAGCTTACACAATTCTTTAAAGACTGAGAAAATTAGCTTTAAAATCTTTGTGTTTTCACTTTTGCATGTCTCCAGAAACATTTGCTTCATATAAACATTTTCCATGTTACAAAAATAAATATAAATCCCAATATCCTCTATACTCACTCTATGACAAATTCATTTTTAGTAGAAAAAATGCATTTTAAATAGGGGCTCCAAAAAGAAAGTCTAACAGAAAGTGAATGGCACCACATGAAGGAGTACTGAACTAAGTCTAGAGTTTCATTTCCTCTTCTTTGAAAGGACAGGAAGTACAGAATACAAAACTGGGTTTGAACAGCTGTGCCTGAAGACTTTTAAAGTATTAATCTTTTAAGAGCCTTTAAGAGCCATGAACCAAGTAATTCTGATTAAATTTAAGAGTATTTTATCTTCCTTCTACCTGGAAGAATCTGATGAGGTAAGTGATATACCTTGGACTTCATTATTTATTAGTGTTGCTTGTTGGGAAAAGGAAACCAATGCCTGTCTGAAAAACAAGGAAATGTATGAGAATTTCAGTCAAAAATGAATCACCAGAAACCTTACTTCTGCATAATGCTATTAACTATATATATATAAAAAAACTACATCTTTGCTCTATCTTAATTCAATTTCAACAGCAGGTCATAGCTGTATGTCACTGTAAACTATAGAACTGAAAACAAATGGCTGATCTTAAGTAATACTGACCTTGAAAACTGAACCTGGATGGGAAACTATGCTTTTTCACTGGTGGCATTATTTCATAATGGAGAAAAAAATAGCTGGATCTGGGGAAAGTCTTTCCCATTCACATGTAACTAAAATTAATCCTGGATTAGCAAAGTGTTCAATTTGAGGTGTAACTTAAAAAGCATCACATGACCGTCCATTGAAGATGTCCAAGATGATAATTTTCGATTACGAGATCTACAGAGCATGACCTCAAGGAAAACGTCTTATTTCCCCCCTTGCATCTTAGAAATTTATTTTCACTTACTAAAGCAGGAAACCCTGGAGATTCCTTAATAAGTTTGGATGGTTTTACCGTGGCATTTCGAGTTTTAGCATGGTTTGGATATTAAAGCCAGTTCAAAATGAAAACACTTTGTTATTTGATGAACCTGTCACCTGTATTATCTGTTTTTGTAAATGAGTTTCTATACTGTGGCATTGCCATGTCTGCACATGCAGAGTAGCACAGCTGTGATACTGAAAGAAAAACAATATGAGAAAACATAGAGGGTTAATTTGCTGTGGTGTAATGGGGTCAATCTTAGCCCAGATCACATATGAACTGTCCAGTTTGATCTTATTGCAGACACCCTAAAAGGGTAAGATAAACTGACAGAAACACCATCAGATGGCACAAGAGGCAGGGGATTTTAACAGGCAGTCAGAAATAAAATGGCCCTCAAACCTCAAAGTCCTCAGACCTCCAGCTGGTCAGCTCTCGTGTGCAGGAAATAATCACAGCATGTGTGTCAGTGCTGTCTTTCCACTTGGAGACAGAGACAAAGGTCCTTCTTTATTAAAACATCTCCCCCAAGATGCACTGCAAACCCACCCACCACGGCATCACTAGATGTAGGAATCAACAAGCAGATTGAGAAAGGCATGGGCGACGTCGACAGTAGACTCCAAGAGCAAAGCATAAGTACAGAGTTCCACACAACAGGGTGCTTAGCCACATATTTAAAAAGAAACCTTGTGGTTCTTAAGCAAAACCAAGGCTTAGGAAGTAGGACTTTTTTTTTAAGAAAAGAAAGAGGGGCTGGAGTAACATTGGGTGAATATCAAGATAGAAATCCAAAAACCAGAGATCCCTTGTGTACAAAATCCTTCATCTACATCTTACAGTTACTGCACTTTACAGAAATCTGGACGTAAGTGAACATTAACAAAAGAAATTCTGAACTAGTTTCAACGGGAGCCAGAATCCTTCATTTTAAAGGCCATGGCCTTCATGGTGATATAGTATTTTGTTGCTTTTCCAGTATCTTTCTAAGGTTGACTGGACTTTTAATAATCAGAGTAAAATTAATGTCTGGTTTTGATGTTACTCTTTATACTCATTCAATTAAACACAATTGTGTCTATATGTTTGGCTGGGCTTGGCAGCTTTATTGAAAACTATATCTAAAACAATCACTTAAGTTTTAACTCTTTTTGCCATATACTGTTAATGAAAATAAAAGCAACATATGCAAAATTATCAAAATGTATGTTAATCAGTTCAGTAAGTTTTTGATTACATTTTTTTCCACTGGGAGACTTTCCGTTTGTAGAAGTTAAAATTACAGTTGTATGTTACCAATGTTCCCAATAAAACAAAACACTTTAGTCTACACAAGGATTTTAAAATAGCACATGTAAAAGGTAAATCAGTGATTAAGTCAGAAACCATTCATAATCACCACAGTTGTCTTTCGTTTTGATCCACTTACAAATGCAAGCACCCACACAGAAAATGTCTAGGGACACAAAAACAAAGGATAGATTTTTTTTGCTCAAATACATGTGATGTCTTGAATCTAGTTGAGGTACTATGGTTTGGTACATTGATGACTTTTTCTTATACTTAGAAGAGCAATGCTTCAGAAGTCTTCCCTTCTCTTTACAGTTGATCCTCACCATCACCATTTATTTAAAACTTTACAGGGTTTTAAGTGTCAAAATATACACACATCACAAATTTTCTGATACACAGGCACATGTGTAACACATCTTGTAGTGCGACATGAGATGGTTATGATGATGTCACTCCCCTCCTGTCCCCACAGCAAGGACTGGACTTTCTGCATAGGAGGTGTAGCACTTGTCTGGGCTGTGAGAATCTGGCAGCTGGTGAGGCTGCAACCAAGATGGAGAGGGAAATACTGTATGGGCTCACAACTTACACATCTACATATTATCCACTGTGCATAGTGGTTACGCACAAGCAAATACTAGTAAAATGAAAATCAGTTTTATGGTATGGGTGTTAGGATATTGTTGGAGGAAGTTTCCGTTCTAGAGAAAGTGATGTTTCTGGTGCTTTGAGAATAACTGCGCAAGTGATTAAATTTCATGCAGCTAAAATAATCACTTTATACTTAATATAATCCAAATTGCACACAAATAAATGTCTGAATTTAATTTTTGTCTATATTAAAATGGGTTCAGATTTTAAAAATATCTACCGTGATAAATCTACCATAGGATTTTCAACTTTTACCGTGGTATTTTTTAAAGTGGTTTTACCATAACGTGTCTTCTCTGTGCATTACTATACTGGACCACATACTATGGTGTATTATACTAACATTCCTTACAATAATTTCTCATGATCAATGACATTCCCATGGTCTGTTGGATTAACGCCCAGTAAAAGAAAGTTTAACCATGTTGAAAGTACAGCAAAACTAAGCAAAGCATTAAAATCCTAGAATTTACCAAGGTAAACTTCCATAAGGCTTACTATTGAAAACAAGCTAGCTCATTTGAAGTCTTCTATTATATGGCTTACAGAAATCAGTGAGGAGTTTGCAAACCCTACAGTATATTCTAGTCAGAGCGATATCTATCAGACATAACTTTCTGCATTTTTCTCCTTTTCTGAATACCCTTTTCATATGATAACTATTAAAAGCTGTGGAATGTTTTCTTCACAATATACCTGCTCACTCTCATTTTTTTTAGTTAAATGTTAAAATCATTTTATTGTTGCATATCCATCTTATAATTTAGGGAGGCTGTACAGGTAATTTCCATTAATTTCTTAAATTTTGTTGAATTACTACATCAGTGGGTCAAACTCCCTGCAGCTTCGTTCAGTCAGGAACATTTATCCCGGAAACTGTGTTGTTTGCATTTGAACTGGATCTCACGAAAGGAGTACATAGTTAAGAGAGGATGTTACTTCTAAATGCTAAGTCCTGGCAATGGGAGGAGAGCGGATTTTAAAATAAGTGAACCCTGAGGTCACAGTTGCTTCCTGCCATCTGAAGCGAAAGTACGGCTTTTGAAACAAAGTCGACGGGCAGTGTTGCGAATGATTCAAATGGGTTTCGGCACAAAACCTTGGTCAGCTCAGAGAAAAAAAATAAAAGATGGCGGCCATAGCACCCCCAATCCTAGCTCGCCTCGCCAATCCCAGCTGCCAAACGGATGTATCATGGTCATGAAATGTACTCTAACCCCCCTCCCCCCACCTTCCCCTTTATGAAAACGGACACAAAAAAGGCAACTCTGCTGGCTTGCGATGATCTCCTCTTTTTGCGCTGGTGTATCTGGTTTTGCCGTTGTATGAGAGAGAGCGCACCTGCCTCCTCGCTGTGTCTCCTATATCTCTCTCAATCACTTCCTCTATTGCTCCAGTGATCTAGAACTCGCTGAACTCCTTTGCACACTTCTCAGTGAAGGAGACTCGGATTTCCTCTTCCTCGTAGTCATCAAAATTGCTGGTGTCGCCTGGCCCCTTGCATTTAGGGATAAAAGGTGCCTCGACCTATGAAAGAGAATGCAGGTGGAAATTTATATGGCTCTCTGTATTCAGGGATTTTTCCTTCCTTTTTGTAGTTGGGATTTGCCATATACAGTAATTCCTAGCTATACGCAAATTTATCTTATGTGGTTTTGAGTATCCACATAGTTTTCTCTATACCATTTTACCTTCCATGACACGATATTCAATATCCACGAGCTAAATAAGTGCTGATTGCGTGTCCACAATTTTTCTCACATTCTTAAAGTGCTCTGCGCATAAAGTGTACATTATTACATTGGGCTGGGATGATTATTAATATTTGATTAAATAAATTAAAAGAGCTTTTAAGTGTATGAAAAAGGATGAAGTGTCCAGTGTTGCTAAGCGCTGCACATTTGTTGCACAGTGTACTACATTTTGCATTGATAGCTGATACCATGCAGTGATAGTGATTAAAATAGTTACAGTATACAATTTCTCAAATATATATACACAGTAGTTAAATAAGCAATTAAATTGGCTCCTAAGTGTATGTGAAAGGTCAAAGAATCTCGTGTTGCAAGTGTGCCACATCAGTGATGTCTTTATTTTATCCTCTAAATATTTATGATTAGTTTTGAGAAGGTCAAAGCAATAGGGCTGTTGATAGATTTGATGCACTATTTGCACAATATAGGAGAATGTGGCTACTGTACCATGTTGCCAGTGGTACACCATATTTGCCTAAAGTGTTATACCATATGACCCAAACAAAAAATGCTTCTAAATATGCATATAAATTAAGTGAATGTACAAGAATCTTGTTAAAAGTTCAAGAGAGGAATACGTTTTACAAGCAAAAGGTGTTATGTCCTTTCTGGTGGCTGTACTAGAGGTGAGCTAGCAGTGTTTTGTCAGCTGTTCACGTCACTGTCTCTCAGGTGCTCTGTTTCCTGCCATTAGGTTCTTTCTTGTTTCCAGACAGCACTCTGAATTCTGCCATAGTAGAATGGTATTACAAAAGTTGCAAAGGAAGAAGTAAAGGTTTATTCCATGACGAAAAGAAATGCAAGGGTTCGGCTGTGGAGCCTTGTTTTCTTCTTTTTTCAGCATGGAATAAACTTTTACTTGTTCCTTTGCAGCCTATGCATGTTAACGCAGCTACCTACTTGAACTATTTCAAAAGGTGGTTCCACACATCCTGTTTCTCCCATAAAGTCTGAAATGTACCAACTGCAAATTTACATTCTGCAAGGTTTTCCAGGAATGCAACCCTTGCGATTGAAATGGGATTACTGAATTTTTTTCTGGATCTGGCTAATGTTTATAGAATGCAATCATGATTTTGATTTGTAAGTTTTACACTTATCAGTATGATGCATGACTATGTTTTACTGTATTTTAGCTTTTATGCATCTTAAAACAGTTTCACAAACTCTTTTGGGTTGAACCAAATGAATTTTATTCAGGGACTGGATATCCATCAGCTTCCCCTGCCAGGACACTCCCCGGTTCTCAATTTTAGTGAACATGCAGTTCCACAAGCTACCCCTTTCCATTTGTCAGGTAAATGGGATGGGACCAGGCTGCATGTATTTCATATCCTTGTGGAATACCTGCCACTTCTCATTTAAAGAAACATATTTAAATAATTTTGAAATCTGGATTCTGCTTTATATATTGAATTTACATCTTGGTCTGTGTACAAAGCAGAACTGTTTTGGTTTACATAAGATTCAAGAGAACCCGATTTCTGAACCAATCATGCATGTGTGGGAGAAAGCATGTTCTGACTTACTGTTTAAATACGAGAATATGAGACCATTCTCTCAGCTGAATCTCTCTGTGCTCATTGAATTGACATCACTGTGGTCACAATATCAACAAGCAAGCAGACATATTTCAGCCAGCTTTCAGAATATCAGTTCATGATATTCTCAAGATAGTTGCACATTTTTTTTTAGGAGAGTGGGCAAAGGAGAAGCTGAAAGAATATGAAGATGAACTTGGTTGCTGTACCTGAAAAAATTTAAGGAAAAAGGAATTCATACTAAGTGAGTCGACTGCAGATGAAATTGTGCCTGATGCAATCACAGCAAGAAGAAACACGGCTACATTGCTTGTCTGGAAATTGGGGCCTCTGATATTTGAGATTATGAACTTCACAGACAAGCCCTAAAAGAACTGAATTGATGCTTGCTCAGATTTTATGCAAGAGCCTGTTAAAATTTACAGTACAATTGAACTAGACTAGCTTTGCACTGGGAACAGCAGGTGTCAGAAGTAGATGGATAAACTACTGTTGCCACTTGGCCCCAGATAAATTCTAGACACTTAGGACAGCACAGGATTTTTAAAGTTGTCTGGAAACTGAAATACATTAACATGGCAATTGAGAACTAAACTGTTAATAATTGTCATTGCTGATTACCATGGTGTGGTCATATTTTTAAATAAACATTTTACCAATAAAAACATCTTGAATATTGTTATAATTTAATCAATGTCTGTCATCCTTCTTTGAAAGCTGCTATTTTCATTTTCTTCTTACTATTTGTCATCATTTTTTTTAAAGCATGCTAAACAAAGCTTCTTTTACTGAAGAACACTACATTGGTAATCAGTGTGTAACACAGTTAGGTACGTTTAATAACATCTCTGTGTAATTCACTCATTACAATAATTGTGCTGATCAAATTAAGTGCAGTTTCTTTAGCAAAAAATTGCCTGTTTCTCAGTCAATTATCAACTCGATCACCTGGACTTTTCTTGGGGCAGTCTCACATTCTTACAAGAATGGAGGGCACAGAGACAGATATTGGGCATCTGACTTGTTTGAAAAACACTTTTTTTAAAGTAAAAGAGAGCTAGGAGGATATGTTCAGTAGCTTTGTTTTATATTCAACTTTCATGATTTTCCTTAGTGCATTAATCTAATGGATTGAGGATTTAATGCATTTTATTGACTGCTAAGAAAGATTGATCCAAAGAATTCAATGAGGATTCCCTGTAGAACAACACTGGGGATTTAAGGGTAAAAACCAGAACGTCTACTTAATTCCAACATACAGCCTAATACCGTGATAGTAAGATTGATCAATGTGTTTTTTCACAGAAGCGTGACTTTCAAAGATTGTTAGTTTCATGTTAATCTGTTAATCTGGTATTCTGGTAGTGGGCTGTACAATATCTGTTACAATGGGATTTAGAATTTGGAATGTGGCATTGTAATCAGACCACACCGTTTGGTGCACTGACAGTCTTAACAGCTCTTATTTATTTTGTTCTGTCGGTATTGGATTGGATATTCTGTGAAATTGACAAGTTACATCAGGTCACGTTTCAAGTAAAATGAAGATTTTTTAAATATTTCAAGTAATGCATATACTACAATTTTAGGTTTTTGTTTTGTTTAAAAATGGGCCTATACATTTTGACACATCAGCCTATAGAAAGTAAAGCAACTAAAATCAGTAAATACAAATAAAAATAATGTTCAACTATTTGAAGGTACTTTTTTGACAAAAAGCGCACTTATGCTCAAAAAGCATGGACTAAAGAATATTCTGACCTAAATGCAAAGGCTAGAATTCACTCCTGGCCTGTCTCCGTATCTGAGGAGAAGTTTGAGTGCAACCATCACTACAGAAACCCCACTGCAGGAGAGAACAGCTGAGAAATGGCGAGAGGTGGAGTGAGAGAAAGTACTGAGCCCTTTGTGTTTTCCATTCATTTTGGAACATTACATGGAATATATTGCTCTTTTTCTGGAAGGAAAAAATAATGCAGGTGCAGAAGAAAACTCAGATTAAACTTCGGAAAGAAAACAAAAAATGTCTGGGTTGATGGAAAGATGAATTTCCATCTGTGTTGCTACCACATGACTGGCACAACACTACCATTATGCTACAATTTAAAATGACTTCAATGTAATGAAGAGCAGAATCAGATATTCTATTGATCTCTGTTTTCTTTCCCTGGTCCCAGTTATGCTTTACTAGTGCCTACTCAGCGACGATTGAAGCACATTAATTTGAACCAACAAATAGTTCACCATACGAGTATTAAGATTCCAGTTTAAATCACACCAATCGAAATTAATTTAAAATTAAACCCACTGGTATAACACGGAATACTGACACCCTACAAATTAATTTTGCTTAGAAATATTGCACTTTTACATTGGTAAAAAATACACTTTTACTTGGCAGCCCATACTTGAACCAAGAATGTCTTCACACCACCTAATTCCACACAAACAGAAAATAAAAACTTCTGAACAGACGTTACCTTTCTCTGGTAGATTGCAATCCAGTCTGTCGTGGCAAACCATTTGTGATTTTTGATGTCACTGACTGCATTTTTGAGGTTCCCAAAACGCTTGGTCAGGTCCACCTGCAGCAGGTTCCGAAGAAGGTCCTTCAGGTCTGAGCTAAAGTGGGAGGGGAACCGAACCTGGGCACAGGGGGAACAGAGTCACTACTGGCTCTGGGTTAAATATCCACCTCCATTAAAGCCTCCAGCCAAGGCTTGAAGCCTGGCTACAGAATACACTTCACTTTCGTACTATATACAGAGACATTTCCTGTAAGTGGGGTCCTGACTCCAATATGGTCACTGCTCTTAAACTGAAGGACTACTTAAGGTTAAATTAAGGTTAGCTGGGTGGCATGGTGGAACAGTAGTAAGTACTGCTGCCTCCCAGTACTGGTTCAATTCTGCATGGAGAATGTATGTTCTCCCCATGTTCACGATTGTTTTTCTCCGGTTGCTCTAGTTTTCTCCCACAGCCCAAAGACATACTGGTAGGTTAACCGGCTTCTAGGAAAACAGCCCCTGGTGTAAGTGTGTATGTCTCTGTATGTGACCTGCAAGTGACTGGCATCTTGTCCAGGGTGTATCCTGCCTTGAACCGGTTCCTCGAGAGCCTTAAGATTAAGTGGTTAGAAATGGATGGATGGATGAATTAAGGTGAGTTTTAACTCAAGGTGTTCTTGCATCTGGATACTAACTTCTTTTGAAGTCTGAGAACAGCATATATTTTGAAATCCGGAATATATTCTTTGTTGACTTGATATATTATCCCCAATCTGAAATTGGCAGTTGTCAATCAACTTGGCTCAATGCTACAGCTCTTTAACACAGTTGGGTATAAAGACAGTAAACACATCTTCCTCTGAAATGTGTGCTGCCTAGCCAGACTAGCCCCAAAGTACTCACAGAAGAGCCAGCATCAAATGGGACACTGAAGCAGTTCTCATCAATGCTATAAGCAGCTGGCAGGTGTCTACCAAAGCAACATGGATTCAAGCATGGCCTAGTCTGTGAAACAGTAGGTACACCAATATCGCAAGTGACAGGAAGGGATTTAAATCAGTTTGTAAAGACACTTACAAAAATTATTTACACTTTGAATTTTGTACATTTCAGAATTATTTTCAATTCCAACTATAATTCAGAGAGAAAGAAGTGGGCTGTTTATATCGATAATCTGATGGAATGTAATATCCAGTGGCAACTGGCACAAGCTGCTGACAATGTGGAAACTGGAGCTGCTTGTGTGTATGAAAACCTTTTATAGTAAGAGATTTTACCAATACTCTAAATTCCAGATCAATTTCTAGTTCTGCAAAACAGGCAGTCATTACTTCTTAACGCTCATGTATCCCCCTTTTGACATCTGGTTAAAACTGGGAATTCTTTCAGAGGCACTGTGTCAGTGACCTAGACAGTGTATAATTCTCTTGCAGTGGAAAACTCGGCCTTGTGGTCCAGCGGGGTTTGCTGCTATCTCCTGAGTGGAGCTGGTTCTGCTTCAGGTCCACAACCAACCGTAGTTGATTCCTGGCAGAGCCAGAACACAGCTATACCAGTGACACCTGCCTTGTAGTTTTTATTGGCCTACTTTGATTTTCAATAGTTTTAATGTGTTGACTGATTGGGCACTGCCTGTTAAAAAGCAATGGGAATTTATAGGGGTGCAAGCTTGATGATACAATATAGTGGGTTTACTAATACTACAGCAGCATTACCACCTTCTAGCCTGATCTTGTCACATCTCAGAAGCTATGCTAGGCCGGATCTGGTTAGTCCAGGAATGGGAGACCTCCAAGGAAAACCAGTATCTTGGTGTTGATGAATCAGTAGGTGAGCATTTCCAATCTAATACTCCAATATGGTGACCTGGGATACTGTTCTGGAGGAGGTACAGTCCTTTGAATGAGACATTAAACCAAGATACTTCAGGTGGTTAGCTGCGTCAGCATGACCTTGGCTACTTGAACATTAAAGACCCTGTGAAGCAGTTTGTAAGGCTGTTACCCAGGTGTTCTGGCTAAATTGCACTCTGGGCTTCTACAATGTGATGTGATCTTCCTAAACTTTCTCTTTTATTCAAATGACAGAGTAATTTTTCACTTCACCAGCTGATAGGTTGCATAGTGGGGCTATTGGCCCATAATGGTCACTTAGTGCCAACCAGGTGGGTGCTGCACATAAGCGGTGGAAAAAGTAGGCCCCTTCTACAGTATGTGTATTTTGCATTGGGACGCCTTGAGATGAAAATCGCTGTCCAAATTAAACAAATATTACATCTTACATTATGGTTGGTAGAACTGCTGCCACAGTCCCTAAGCTCAATTCCTGGGGTTCTACCTGCATAGAGTTTTTGTGGATTTCTTCCAGGTGCTCTGGTTTTGTCTTGGAGTTCAAAGACATGCTGCTATGTTAATTGGCATCTGGGAAAATTTGACCAGGTAGGAGATGTATGCGTCTGTGTTTGTGATTGTCTATCCTGTGATGGACTGGCACCCTGTCCAGGATATTCTGTTGCTTACTGGGATAGACTCTGTCTCCCCTGTAACCCAAAATTGGAAGAAGCAGTTGACTTTTTATGACATGACTACTGAAAAATTAGCTGAAAAAGTTGAAAAAAGTTAATTGGGATTTGTAGCTTATATAACAACCTCTTTTTCCATTACTCAATACAAAATTCACCTATTGATCATACCTTTCAAACAGTAGTGGCTGGGTGAAACCTGAAGAGAATTTGCCTAACCAACATCTCCATTACAGAGACACGTATCAATCGCAGCTCCTGCAGCTATAAGAGAAATGAATAGCTGGAAGAACGCTCACCTTCCCAGAGACTATCTTCTCGTAGATCTGTATGGGCTGGTCTGCGAAGAAAGGCGGGTACCCAGCGGCCATCTCATATATCAACACTCCCAAGGCCCACCAGTCCACTGCTTTGTTGTAACCCTATGGAAACATCGCCAAAGAAGGCAGTCAGTGAGATCCAGCAGTAGTTTATCCACTGGGTCATTATTGCTGGTGTGCGCAAAAGTAAAACAGCCCATACATGGAGCGAAAAGTCTGACAATAACCATGCATAACCAAGGTAACGTGTGAAAAAGCTCTGCCACCTTCGATATTGAAGTCCAGGCTAATCCTTTAATATTGTGGCTTTAAACTATGGCTGCTGTCGCATCATCCAGGTGGATGCTGCACATTGGCTGCACATTGGTGGTGGCGGAAGTCCCCATTACCTGTAAAGCGCTTTGAGTGGACTGTCCTGAAAAGCACTATATAAGTGTACACAATTATTATTATTATTGCTGGAGCTGGTGAGTAAGCAGTTTGATGTACATTTAGTATTGTCTGGCTGGTTGTGGAAAGAGCCCAGGCGCTGCTGCTAGGGTCGTAATGGAAAGCTGTTGTACGGGGGCTCAGTTGCAATGGTTATATCTGAGTGGACTACCTTTTACACTCTTTTGTTTAGAGAACTCCATGTGATACAATGAATACTGCTTTAATAATGAAACGGTAGTTAAACTGTCTTTCATTATTTAAGCTATACTGCATGGCAGAGACCTTCAAGATTTTTTCAAGGTAATTTTAAAAGCATTTTGCTTTAGATGCAAAACTTGCTCCCAATTTAGTAAGCGGAAAATGTTAAAAGAAGCAAATCGCAAAGTGCGAAGACCATTGTGGGGAAAAAAAAAAGAAAAATGCCCCCTTTATAAGGCTATAAATTGGGCTAATTTCAAACAACCTCAGTCCGGTTTCATTTACTCTGTGACAAATCTCAATATGTACACAGAGTGTAGCTGGAACTTTTAAATTCACTTCTATGTATTCTGGCACCAAATTCACTTGTGTTGACACAGCCATTATCAAGCTAACTTAGTTAATTTTTTTAGGGATAATAGTCCACATTTTGGCAGAAATGTATTAACATGGCAATGGATGCGAGAGTGTTTTATGTGTTTATCATTCTCCACAGAAATAAATTATTTTATCATTTAAAATGAAGTCAGCAAAGAGGAGAGATTTATCAAGTATGCAAAATGCTTTTCGTACATTTTCCCTGCATATTCCCACACTGACTATAGAAGCTGGTGAGGCTAACCTTGAGCTGCTCCTTAATCTCATTTCCTGTTTACCAGATGGACTGACACCTCTTTTTCTGGTGATCTCAGCTTACTGTATCTTCCTATTCAACTTTGTTATTCATACTGCTCTATAATGAACCAAATCGAATCTGAACACATGTCAGGTTGAATTTAAAAGTGAATTGATCGTGAATTTTTAAACAAACAGTTTTGACAACTGCCCAGTTAATATACCGAGTGCCAGAAATGACATTACTTTAAGCTTCATCTTCATTCTTTTTATAGCTACTATGAATTATGTTTCTACATTTACTGTGTAACATCAATACAAATTTCAGTTTCATGACATTATAATCTAATTACAGTACTTTCTACTGCTCTGATCTCTGGTGGGGAGTGAACTGAACATGGGCATGGACATGCACACAACTGTTATGGGAAATTAATTAATTACATTTTAGTGCTTATTTACAATGAATTGAATGTCTCCTTCTGATATACTGTTGATTTATTCATGCTATATCCTGCGTGTAACTAATGTTCTGTTGAAGTCTGTATATGATTTGCATTTAATTCAGTTAACAAACCTCGAGTTAAAAGATTGTCTTGCATACATACCTTGGAACTGGATGCTGTAGGAACTTTAAAATCTTGTTTAAAAACAGTTCTTATTTAGATTTCTTTACTCATTTGTTTTTTTTTACCAGCTTCCACTGTTTAGTCTTTCTATTATTAAGTGTCTTGAGTTAATGGATTATGAGGTACCAATTGAAACAAGTTGTTGTTTTGATGGTAAACTTTAGTAGCATTTCAGCAAATTGCCTGCCAACTCCACGCATGGGTTTACTTTCCATCTCCACCATCTGACTAAATATTGAGAGGACCTTTTTGGAGTGTCTTACTTTGCTCAATATGATTTCGGGAGCCAGATACTCTGGAGTGCCGCACAGCGTCCAGGTCCGACCTTTCACTCGCTTGGCAAACCCAAAATCTGTTACCTGACAATAAAAAGGCATAAAAAGACATGCTTATTCCAGCCTTTCCAATTCCAACTTCTGTCCTCTTTCTCTCTCAGGCAACACCTAGTAGTACACATACCTATACCCGTGCTTGTTAAACAAAAAAGAAAAACACAGCATTTTAAACTATTCAATTAATTTAATTTCCATCTAACAGCTTTTGATTATATGCAGATATTGCACAGTTTAAAATAACTGTGAGACCAAATGTTCCTTAATGTTCAATAAAACTGAAATTTAATAGAAAACTTCAAGTTACCAGGAAAACAGTATCACGATGCCTTACAAAATGTTAAATAGAAAACAAGCGATTTTGAGGGCTTCCAGGCCAAACAACTCTTTGTATAGGATCAAAATTTATTACAATTGTTTGTGTTACAGGTTGTGTTTTCCGAGCAGGTGAAGACCCAGTATGGTCAGAAAACAAACTGCAGAACCTTTTAAGCTTCAAGTCTGAAGAAGGTTTTAGTACTGATGAAATTTCAGCCCAACTGGCACAGCAGGACTTTTTGCCATCATTTTGCAATATAACATCTCAGATTGAACTGTCAGGAAAAACGTTAAAAGTCAGACAGCTACCTGGTTTCACACCAGATGCCCACATAGGAATATTTTAATTGCACTTTCCCAAAACTGATGCTTATTAAGTTTTGACTTAATTAGCCAAACACTTTTTACACAGGATATACATACATTTTATGGAATAGGATGTAAATGGTTTCTGTGCAACCATCTTGGTTTGTGCAGGAAAGCTACTTTGCCATATTATAACTTCACTGTCACTAGAATAATGCTTAAAATGTTTGCATACTCTTACACAGCCTTGAATTTAAGTATCACAGGCTTTTTCGATTTTAAAGTGGAAGCTTTCAAAACCATGTACAGTCTCATGCAAAACACAAAGAAAAACAGTGCACAAAATTTGATTTAAATTTTTTCCTGTTAGATGTAGACCACTGACTTCATCCCAGTCGCTTTTTGGTCTTTGAAATGTAATATAATGTAATTTTTCTTTATTGGCCCTATACAATTTCTTGCATTAGGAATTTGTCTTTTCGCATACCCCAGCTTTTCTCCTTGGAGACACAGACACACAGACAGGGAGAGAAGCTTGGGGTCAGAGCGCAGGGTCTGCCACTGTACGGTGCCCCTGGAGCAGTTGGGGTTAAGGTCCTTGCTCAGGGGCCCAACGGAGTAAATGTATGAATTGGAAAGTGTAAAGGTTTTCCCTTGATCTAGTAGCAAAAAAGAAAGGTTGTGAAATACTTCCCCTGCACTATTTATTGTACAGTATTCCAAAAGATAATGTCGTGTATTATACTGCACCTTAACAATGACCTGAAATCACGTGATTTCTGCTTGAAGCCCCTTCAGGGTTTTCATGAAGAAACCCTACTTATTTCCTGTAATGTTTGCAAAACGAACAAAGCTACCCTCCACAAAACGGACAGAACATCCTACTATCACACTGTTTTTTAAAGATTTTAGAAAATGTACAGAAACGTCTCATCAAGAAATGTACAGAAACGTCTCATCAAGAACTCAACACATGCACTCCACTCAGTGATGTCCTCTTACCTAACAACAGATGTAATGTACGTTGTGAGAACCCATTTCCATTTTGAATATATTTTATTTTGTGCGCACGTTTCTGTCTGTGCACCCATTTTTGTTTCTGTTGTATCATTTTTGTTTGTGCACTTTTTTGTTTGTTTTGTTGTTGTTTGCAGTTTGTGCACTCTTTTTTGCTTTATGTGAATTATTTTTTGTTTGTGTTGTGTCATTATTTTTGTGCACTCATTTTTGTTCTTGTATTTTGCACTTCCGGACCACTGTACCACTGAGTGTGCTCACTTGTATGTATCCTTGCTGATCTATTAAAAGGTTCTCTGGCTTCAGGTCTCGGTAGATGAGATCCAGGGAATGAAGATACTCGAAGGTCAGGACAATCTGAGCAGCATAGAACCGTGCGTGTGGCTCACTGCAGGGACAAGACACAAGATAAGCACAATGAATGTGTCAACCGAATGCCTGTCTGACGATGGGGCTGAAGAGACTTTTCATTCACAGATCTGATGTCAAGTGCTTGTTCACCACCAGTATAACACCTGACACAGCTGCAAGAATACAGTACCTTCTCCCGAGCTGAAAAGTGAAGGGTGGTGAACCTTTGTAACAGCTACCAGGTGATGTGAAGACTAAGATGTCAGAATTTTTCACAAAAAGAAAGGATGAACACAAAAATTATCCAACAGTATAAGACTTTCAGGTATCTAGGCCGGTGGTCTTGGGACTCTGTCCAGCTAAGTCAGGGTCAGATTTGCTCCCTTTAATTTAGGATTTTTTCTCCCTTTCTCAGTGCATCAGGGTAGTGTCAAGGTCAAAAAGCAGATGGGTTAAATAGTGTTTTCTTATTTCAAATTTTAATGCAGATTAATTATTTTTTCATACTACCATAACATTCACGGTACATCAATATTCAAAGCCATGCCAGTACCATATAATTTATGCCTACAGCTATCTTTGTCAAACAACTGTGCAAAATGGACTGCAAATACATTATATTTATTTTACAGAATATGATAGGAGACTACAGAAGTGTCTTAAAGTATCTAGAGACAATGAGTAATGCCTAGCTAGTGTCTTCCACTTCCACTTTTTAGAGCTTAAAACTGAGGAATGTTTACTTAATTGTGTTGGATGCGAGACACATTGACCAAAATAATCTTCTGGTTTACCTTTATTAAATTATGGATAAATGATTAAGAGTGTCAAAAGTGTGGGATAAACAAGATCAGATCAGGAGAGGACAAAGAGGAGAAAACATAAACAAACAAGAGAGGAGGAGACAGAAAGGACAGACGAGACATCCAAAGTGAGAGTTCCTTGTTCGAGATCACCCATGTAGACCAGATTGAAGCCAAGTATTTCATTGGTTAGAGTCAAATACTTGGTAGCACTCTGGGGTTTTTCTGGGTGAATATTAGGCCTCTGGGACACCTTGTTTGTAAATTTGTACATTGTTGCATGTTTATGTGTGTGTTGTTTAGTGTGTACATGGTCATTTGTTATGTGTATCTGTTTAAACAAGTGTGCCACAATTAATATTCTTTTCACCAAAACTGTGCCAGAAAAATAATTCACATGTCTCTTATTATACCAATATCATATCTTATTATAACTGTGGTATATTCTTAGCAACATCTTTTACAAGTTCGGAGTTATGATTATTTTACTTATTAATTATTCCACTTGGTCAGCTGCTGATTTTCCTCTAATTTCATAACCCCCAATTTTTAACAGTATACTTATAATGGCTGTATAAAACTGTAAATACTGTATTTCCAGGATATACAGTGAAAATTAAGGACGTTTTAAAATGTTCTGTGTAACTGGCCAGTGGTCTATGAACATAGCTGCAGCACCCTGCGCCAAGCAACATCTGTTAGATTGCAGAGTGGCAGCAACATCCCTGCTCCTGAAGAAGAGGAATATGCAGACCCAGTTCTGGATCTTGAGAGAATCTTGAGTCTTGGTTAAGACCCCATCGATGTTTGAAACAAAAAACAGTTGCTCAGCAAATGTTTAACAATTAGGCCTCATTGTCAGTGTTTATGCAACAACACAGAATCCCTATCAGTTCAAAGGCAATAAACTCCAACTAATTTTTTTCTTAGATTTAGTGCTAACGACCATTTGATAAAAAATAGAATCATCTTTATACTTTAGTACACATAACTCAAGATGTATGTACCTACAGGGGGCTTTTGAACGCTTTATGAAGGCAAAATAACCCAGATTCTGCCCATTTGAATTCTGGTTTTGAGCTTGTATGAGAATACCTTTTCTCTCCTTCATTGTGTCATAATGTTTCCAAATATTGAAGGCATCACCCTGATGAGCACAAAACAATAGGGACTAACCTTCACATCGGAGGTATCTCAGCTGAGCCATGTAAAATCCTCTTCAAAAGGATATACTTTTTACATGTTTTAGAAAAAAAGAAAGGTTACAGACAAGAAGGCCATTTGGTTTATCTTACTCGTCTTAAACCTAATTTCCACATGTGTCTCTAGTACACAAGTGCAGATGCAGTCTCCTGAACTGACTCGGTCACAACATTTCAGGATTTTGGTATGAACTAATATATGAAAACGCATATAAAGTGGTGGTTTGAATGCTACTTACCTGAACCGGCCAATTCTTCGTAAATGTGAAAACATCTCGCCTCCAGGAACGTACTCCATGACCATGTAGAGGTTACTGTTGTCCTGAAGGGAAGCAGGAGAAATCACTCTCAGAAACTAGCAATTGCTGGGCATAGACACCCCGCCAAAAAGACACACAAACAAATACTTCCTACTGTCTTGTTACAGGAAGCTTTCCCTCTGTGGTTGCTAAACTTGTATGCACAATATTAGCAAAAAGGCGCTCCTGCTCTTCAGCCTCTGGACAAAGGGTTTCTCTGCCTATTTTCCAAGCAGGCAATGTAGACAGATGTTTGTGCAGTTTCAAATTAAGTAATTAAGAAACTGAGCTTCACTGTATGAAAAATTAAAACAAGCATGAACAATGAGTTAGAAAAAAGACTCATTAAAAATAAGGGTTTATGTCAGGGGGTGCCACAATCAGAGTAAAAAGGAGCAGTGTTGAATCCTGATCCAATTCCAATCAGTTGTCTTTGTGCAGGGATTCCTATAAAATGAAACTGGAATGGTTCTGTCTTGTAAGTGGACAAGACTTCTGAATGAGAGGAGGCCTCTTCCCATGTCATGTGGTTGCTAGTTGGCTCCTTATCCAAGGATATCATGCAGCTATTTTGTAAAGGACACTGGACGTCTAACTCAGCAACATGTTTTTGGTCTTCAAAGCACAGCTAGTTCACACTTGTAAAACACAAATCATTGTAAACGCTATGGGGTGCCAAAACACAGCAGAGCTACAGACAAAAAAAAACAACAGAAAAAACAAAAGCCAAATAAAATTAATGATTAGAATAATGGGTTTTAAATTAATCAATGGGCTGCATCAAGTCAACCAAAGAACAGGTTAATGGTATTCTTCACCAGAGACAGGGTCCTTTTCTTCTCGTGGTTTAGCTGCTTCTTACAGCTCAGTGAGCAAGGTATATTCCTTGTGTGACGCAGTGATGTCTGAACTCTGCCATAGAGCACAAACAAGCTGCTTCACTTACATTAAAAAAAGATGTGTTTCTGATTGGCAGAGCTCTTATATGTGATTATGCCCAATGGCACAAAGATGCCAGCCTGACTCCAATCGTACTGGTTGTCCTGACCACAGACCACAACTGGGCTGAATACCAGCAATGTTTAGATTTCACTTAGATTTATTATTTCAGTAAGGACTAGCAGGCAACTAAAGAAAAGACTCCTGAGCAAGTAATGACAGCAGTCTCACCTGCTTTGGATTTTTGTGCAAACAGAAGCGTCGGTAGACCTACTCACCAGATCTCAACCCCTTGGCTCATTCTATCTAAGTTGCTCAGATATTGTGCTTTGAGCTGGAGCAGACCTGTTCACTTCAGTGGTTTTTAAATAGTCAAAATCAGATCAGTTGGGCTAAATCAAATTAACCAATTGGATATAGGAATATAGTTAATCGACTTTAACAACATGGCCGGGCAGATTGTTCCATTCTCCAACAAACCTTTGCAGAAAGAAACACATCTTAATCTCACTTTTAAATGCACTTCCGTATAGTTTCCACTTGTGTCCCTTGGGTTGACTTTGTCAAAGCCTTTCAGAATTTTGAATACTGGGGTCACATCCCCTTACAGTATTCTCTGCTGAAGACTAAAAAGGTTCAGTTCTGTGAGCCTGTCATTGTAGAACATTCCCTTAAGTCCTAGAATGTATCTGGTTGTAGTTCTCTGGACCGATTTCAGAGCAGCAACATCTTTTTGTAACATGGTGATCAAAATTGTATGTCACATTAAAAAGTAGGACTTTTTAGTGTATTATACTATTTTAACGTGACATCCCTTGATTTACATTCTACAGTTGGGACTACGGTTTATACTGTAAATCCTAAAATTTTGGCTTTCCCACCTAGAAGATGTATAGTAAATGATGTGTCAACACGAAGACCTAAGTAGCCTCTTCTACCTTAGCGCTTCCCACTTTGATATTCAAATTTTTTACTGTCTGCATGATACTGCATACTCAGTAGGCCACATACCTTGAAGGAGTACTCCAGCCTGACCAGGAAGGGGAAGCTCACAGCCTGAAGGATTCTCTTCTCGTTCAACGTGTGTTCGATCTGCTTGAGCTTCACCACCTGGAATGGGGAGAAGAGGGAGAAAGGAATATGTGAGTATAAAACCAGCATTTTTTAGAATACTTCTAAAAAAGTTGCCATTTTTTCTCCTGGTTTAGGACAGGCAGCTCTCATTAAACAGGTTGAACCAACAGAAGCTAATGGAAGGTCAAAGACTGGGAGTTAAGTTAACCCTTTAAAGATTGTGTTTCAAATTGGAATAAGGGGACCTAAGAAATAAACTGAATAGCAGGTGCCACACCTACTGGCACCATCCACCTCCTCAGGCACCTGGATAAATGCTGTTGTCTCGTGTCTCTACTAACTATGGTTCTCCTTCTGAAATTCTCACAAGACAGTAAGACAAAAAAGACAGTATACTCTGATTAGCCATACATTCTTGACCTCTGGCTTTCCCAGAAACTGCAGTTGGGAAGGCCAGGGGCTATACTGTCAAACTCCTCACAAGGACAGAGATTGATTTTTATATATTCTGAGACATTTCCATCTCATAGAATACTTACGTTTCTTTTTGGTTTTGTAAAATAAGTAGTTTAACATTTCTGCTTTCATTGAACATTTTACTAACATAGCAGAATAGGCTTGATGAATATAGCTCCCTACTACATTATGACAGCTTCTTCTTTTTTCACAACTTGACAATGCGTTTAAAATGGCTCTTTTGGGAGCAGTGACGCAGGAAAATTCTCAAGTTGTAGAGCAGCCTGAATGAAGCGAAAGTAGGAAAATTCCCTGGATTTATCTCAGCACCTTTCTCCTCTGTCACAACCCATCTAGAGGTAGGCTGTGCTTTTATAACCAGCTCCAAGCAGATTTCAACAGCTCTGAAACAGCAGAATAAAAATTCAGCACCTATGTACCTTTATCCCACTTGCAGAAATGTGAAAAAATTTCAGGTAATGCAGAGCAGACTGGGACAACTGCAGATGAACATACCTTCTGTTTGTCCAGAATTTTCATGGCATAGTGCTGCCCCGTCTCTTTATGTTTCACAAGCATAACCCGGCCAAAAGATCCGGTTCCTAGAGTCTTTATCCGCTCAAACTGGTCCAGGGATGCAGTGTTCTGGAGACAGAGCAGTTAGAATACATGGGTCATGGGTCACTATGGATGCAGATTTAAATTAGGGAAGGAATGTATCCCTGTAGCACTTCTCTGTGGAAGGTCTTCTTGCCACACAATAGAAAGGTCACACCCAATAATGAAATGATCACCATCAACACGATGACAATTTAATATACACTTAAAAGTTAATTTTATAATTATAAAATCAATTATAATATCCACCTTCCGGTAGTAACAGACTGCAAATGCAAGCTTTTTTTAAGAGTCTATTTTTTAAATCTATTTTGGCTTTCCAAGACTGAATCTATGGTTTAAATTCTGAAAAACGCATAGTTTTTCTTTTTATTTTTCCACTTTAATTACCTAAACTCTGGGGTATATACAGTATTGAAGCCTATGGTTAAAGAAACTGAATCTTTAACATGGTAGGAACAGGCAGCATTAACCAAACTCAAAGTGCAGCACCAATGACATACAGTGCCTTGCAAAAGTATTCACCCCCCTTTTGGGTCACATTTTATTGTACTACAGCATGGCATCATGATGTATTTTAGAATTAATGCCACTCATCAACACAAAGTAGTCCATGTCAAGGTGAATAAAAAATCCAGACATAATAATTAAACAAATTAAATTGAATATTAAATATAATTAAAATATAAATTAATTAAAAATAAAAAACAGAAAATAATTGAATGCATAAGAATTCACCCCCTTGCTATGACACACCTAAATTACCTCGGAAGTAACCAACACTCTTCTCCAAGTCACATAATTACTTGACTGGAGTCCACCTGAGTGCAGTTGAGGTGTTTCACATGATTTCAGAATTTTTTTTTAAATGTTTAATGTTTCTTTATTAGCCCTATACAATTTCTTGCATTAGGAATTCATCTTTTCGCATACACTTGTGTCTGGGAGCTTCCCCACTTAGTGCATTTTCAAGGAAACATTACACCATGAAGACCAAGGAACATTCCAAGCAGATCTGAGACAAGGTCCTTGAAAAATACCAGTCAGGGCAAGGATATAAGAAAATTTCCCAAGTCATCCCAAACTGAGTGTCTGGGCAAGAAGAGCCACAGTAAGGGAGGCCACCAAGAGGCCTATAGCAACTCTAAAGGAGTTACAGTCCTCTATGACAGAGATGGGAGAAACTGTGCATGAGACAACAATAGCACGCACACTTCATAAATCTGGCTTGTATGGAAGGGTGGCAGGAAGAAAGCCTTTGTTGAAAAAAAACTCAGATCACATCTCGGCTGGTTTGCCCAAAAGCATGTGAGAGACTCAAAAATTTTGAGGAAGATTCTATGGTCCAAAGTTGGACCAAAATTTAACTTCGTTTGGCGCAAACCTAACACAGCACATCACACTGAGAACACCATCCCTACAGTGAAGCATGGTGGTGGTGGCATCATGCTTTGGGGATGCTTCTCTGTGGTAGGTACTGGAAAACCCAAAAAGATAAAAGGAAAAATGGATGAAGCTAAGGAAAGAAAAATCCTGGAGGAAAACGTGCTTCATCTTCCAACAGGACAACGACCTAAAACATACAGCACAAGCCACACTGGAGTGGCTTAAAATAAAAAATGTTAATGTCCTTGAGTGGCCCAGTCAATGCTCAGACCTCAATCCAATTGAGCATCTGTGGAATGATTTAAAAATTGCTGTTCACAAACGGTCCCCATCCAACTTGATGGAGGTTGAGCAATTTTGCCAAGATGAATGGGCAAACATCCTAATGTCAAGATGTGCAATGCTGATAGAGACTTAAAGCTGTTATTGCTGCCAAAAGTGGTCCAACCAAGTATTAACTCTGGGGGGGGGGATACTTATGCATTCATTATTTTCTGGTTCTTATTTTTAATTTAGTAAAATGTCTGGATTTTTTTCCCACTTTGACATTATAGAGTACTTTGATGAGTGGCAAAAATTCTCAGTTAAATACATCATGGTTCCATGCTGTAACACAATAAAATTGATAAAGTCCAAAGGGGGTGAAAACTTTTGCCAGCCACTGTATTACTCAATATTCAATAGTAACCCAGCCCACCTGGGATGTGGGTCTTTATTTTTTTATATTTGTTTGAAAAAAATCATGGGTTGTAAGGTATGGAATTTCAAGTATTTTTCTTTTTTAAAGACTGATTTAACATGTTGATGCAGAAATGGAAAGAAAAATAACATGGGAAACTTGTGATGTTCTCTAAACCTTGGAATTCAAAAGCCAGTTCCTACCAGAAGCAAGAGAATGTGACAAATTACTTAACACTGCCAGTGTTCTAATCTAACAGTTTATAGCAAAATCCTAAAGCCTACATTGTACTAAATGAACACAGAAACCGCATCTTTAATGTTATGAAGTCAAAGCCATACAGATTTGTTCATTTTCTGTTTTACTTCCTTTTCAGACTGTGAGCTTTACTACACTTACTCAGCTGCTGTAGAAGAGAGCGGTCTCAAATACAGCAGCCCCACACATCAAGCCACTAGAGGTCCTCGCTGCCACATTGACTCTGACTCTGAACAGCTGAACAGCTCTGCCCAGGTGAATACACAGGGATATTTAAAAAGATATTTAAGAATGAAAGCAAGCATGGGGAGGCCACAATGCTTTAGAAAGTGGCATTAGGTGGGTGTTTATATGCAGGAAAGTAAAATACCCACATCATTGAAGCTCATGAATTACTTGTAGACCATGTTTTCTAACTAGCACTGGACTTTTATGAACTATTTTTCCAGGAATCATTCTTTGATGAATTTGCTGTACTTTAAGAAGTGTATAAAGATAATATAATTTAAGCTTGTAATGCTATCAGGAAATTTGCCATTTATAGGATTGCGCCCTTTTGATACGTTTCTATTTTTGTCAGTACCAGCCTTTTAATCCAAAGTACTGTTAACCTGCTTATTTTAACCTATTGTATTTAACGATCTGAAACACAAAAACTCAGCATTGTACAATGTTTACCTTGGCTCAATGCTAAGAACAGATGTGATGCATTAAGACATGCACTTTAAGATATGCCATTGTGACCAAACTGTGTGATCTGAGGCAACTTTTAATTTTAAAATTAATTCAAAACAAAACATGGATACAGCTCTTTAACCAACTCACAGCCAACTTTCAAACCTGCTAATTCCTTTCTCTATGATAAGCAAAAGGCAAACAACTCTAGAAGCTATAAGACAGGTGTTACACCTGGGCAGGCGTTGGCTCACAGCCGTTGGTTGACCCTTGAGATTGTGACATTCTGAAGAGTTACCGGATCCTGCAATGTGGCTGAGGACTCACCTCTCGGCAAAGCCCTCCTCCTACCAATCATGCATCCAATCTTCTCATTAACCATATAACGGTTTACTCCCACTGCACCACTCTGGAAGCAATTAGACATTGCGGCACTCGGAGCTCCTTTAGAGGATCAGCTCCCTGCATGACTCTCTCATTACAGTACAGTACATCTATCCTGGCCCTTTTCGCCTTTGGGTGCCTGTTTCACCTCCAGATGCCGATGTGGACTCTGTCCCCTGACCCAAGGAACCTCAGAGCGCTTCCAGACCCTCAAGTGGCCTCTAAACTGTGGCTGGCTTTCGACGGCCAACCCCGCTTTCGTCCAACTCAGCCATTACGCTCCTTGCTGTATCTTTTGTGGTCCTTGGAAAGCTTCAGCTGAGCTTCCCTAATTCTGAAAAAATCTGAAGATCTGAAATATCCTTGAGCTCAAGCACTTGGGTCCCAGCTAATAACCCCCCTCAGCTGTCTGCAGCACTCAGCAACTCTACAACCTAATCCAGTAGGATCCAACCTGTACTCCTCCCCACTGTTTACAGCATTGTTCTGCATCATACCAACAAGAAACTTAAGATAAAACTCCAGTTTGTTTTACTGTTGGTTTCAGATCAATGTATTTAGATGCTCAACTTGAATCTAGAACACAAAGAACATCTAGAAAGTGTCTTAAAGATGGCTTGTTTTGCATCTTTTGCGTTTGTATTTCCATGTTAAAAATACTGTCAAAGTTTACACATCAAAAATGAAAAATTACAGTTAAGTATAACATCCTTGTTACAGTTCACAATGCATAAATAAAGTAGCTAATTTCAAGCAAATTATTTCAGACACAAAAATGTCAATACAGTAATGTACTTGGAACAGACATGTGCATATCTCACATTATCAAATCCCAGCCCCCACAGTGTAAAGTGGCAGCACTGGGTTCTTTTTACATATCAAAAAACATTTTCAGGGGTTTGCAAGAATAGCCCACACCCCACAGACAAAAATCCAACACCTATAATGAAGCCAAAACTAAATATAGCAATAAAAAATGTCTCTCAGTTACTACATTTTTAAACTCCTGTAAAAAAGCTTAAAGGAGTAGGCAAAAGGCTACCCAGTCGAGATCCTTGGATCAATTTGCTACTGGCAACCAAATGGGTCTGGATGGGCCAAATGGCCTCCTCTTATTCATAACTGTAAGGTTCTTAGCTTCTAATTGATCTTCATATAGTTTCACAAAGTTACATTACTTTGTTCCCTACCAGTATGGATCTGCAGATCACCCTATTTTGAGTCAGTGTTCCTATTATTCCCAGTTTTCTTTCTTTTAGGTTAATACAGCCCCGACATGGACATGAATTTACAGTACCTCCAGAGAACCGATGTGTTCTGCAAATTACAGAAGACCCAAGAGTCTCCCTCCTTTTTACTTCAGTGGGATGTGTGGAATCATACCCACACTGTTATCACTCAGTTACACAGTATAGAACTATCCTCATTTTTATTATAAACTGATTTTTCTGACTCTTTTATCAATTTGCTCAGATTGCATTTAGCTATTTGTTATAGATTGTTTAGAATGTTTGGTAATGATAGAGACAGTTGGATTTGCTGGAAAATCTGTATAAACTGTTCCTTTAGCTACCACTGAGCTTGAGAGTACAGCAGCGAAGAGCTGCAGGAAACCAAATAGTCAGGAACAGGACTCCTTTACTCCACACACATTACTTCTGAGAATGATGCACTTCTGCACTTTAGAATGATGGGTAACTCTAACCCTCAAGGACGTTTTTCCAGGCTTTACAAATAGTATATGTCAATTACCAGAAAAAACATTTCTAAGAAAACTGATGATTTTACTTCTTATCTAAATAAGTAATTGAATCAGTTCGAGTTCTGGAGCTGGCTATTCTGTTTAGTCAAAAATGCCACATACCCATTTTCAGACTCTCTGATGATATCAGGATGACACCAGACTCCAGATAATTCACCAATTATGTGCAGCCCCATGCTTCCTTAAAGTAGCCATAATGTATCCAACATTGTGTTTCTGTACAAGTCACTTTGTAACTTATTAAATAAAATCTATTAGTATTAATTCTACAGTGGAAAGCTCCTTCCTTTTACACTATACAATTAGCATTAGGGTTATAATATCCAGTTATATACTTATTTATAACAATTATTACATGTAATTAAACCTTGGAAAATGGAAACAACCAAAAAAAGTTAAATATATCAAATTTGCTTTAAATAAGAAAAAAACAGACAGACAAATGTTCTTTTGTAAAGATTTGTTTTTCCAAATTCAATGACAATTTGCTGCCATCCATAGCCAAACAGTTGAAGTCTTTTTCTCTGCCATGAAGGGAATTTCATGATGTTCACTAAGTATTATCGGCTGTGCTGGGGTTTACCGCTGTTTTGTGTAAGTTGTGTAAGTGAAACTAAGACTTGCTAAGCAGGGACCCAGAACAAGTCCTCTTTTTAATCTCAAACCCACACGTTTTACCAGTCAAATCAACCTGACATTCAGCAAACAGACAGGAGCAGGTGTATGAGTAAACCCAAAGGGCTCACAAGCAGGTGCATTCGAGATCCAGCTTTATCACCGCTTTAGCTGGAAACATTAGACCATGGAACCGCAGGGTATGGCCCACAAGCCAGCTCCTCGTTTTTTCCTTTTCCTTGAAGCAACAGGAAAAGAAAGCTGTTCAAAGAGCATAGCGCATCATATTAAATCTTGCAAGTGAATCAGAACTTTCAAATCATGTCCTAAAACCTCTTTTAATTGTTTATATTGGTGTATGTGTCTGAACCTCTTTTTTACCTGACTGATGTATTTTAACAGTGCCTTGAAATGATGGCTCATGACAGGGGCAATATAAAACAAAAGTCATTATTAATACGGAGCACAGAAGGGCTTACCTAGCCCTCACTGGTATCATAATGCTCACATGTCTCTCGCACACTGAAAGTCAAGGACCCCTCTATCAATTACTTAACTAAATTAGAACTCAATTATACTGAGTCAAGTACTGTATGCAATTACGCTTAAGGAATCACAGTCCAGCACAGCCCAGTGAACCAGCATTCTGTGGAAGAAGTGGTTACAAAATGGATGGATGTGGCCTGTCCAGTATAGAACAGCAAGGCTACGTAAACCAGTGATCACGGGTATTTGCCTGTCCACTACAGACTAGAATAGCACAATGAACCAGCAGTCTCTGGGGTATGGGGCCTGTCCGATACAAACCAGCAAACCCATTGAACCAGCAACTCTGGGGTATGGGACCTATGCAGCACAGACCAGCAATCTCTGTCTTGTAGAGACTGAGATAGAGATCCTCAGCATAGCTCCGTGTACCTGCAATCTGTGGAGTATAGGGCTTGACCTTCACGCTGAACAGGTGGTGTCTGTTCAGTGAAGGTGTTCACACAAAGAATGCTACATGCTGCAGTCCACATAAGAGCTACTGTATATAAAAATATAATTTTAAGCAGAAGTTTAATAGAGAAAAATCTGGTGAGCTAGTTTGAGCACACATATAGGTGAGTTGTGCATTGCATATTTAAATCTTTGACACACATGAGTACTAAAGCTTTGTATACAACCTATGGACTTGACTCTACATGCAGAGATAAGGAATGAGAGATAACAAGATATGTAAGGAATGAGGAACTGTATCTGTGTTAAAGACCCTAGAAATAATTTATACTGAACTTCAATTATTTTGGCAAATTAATAAACTGGATACACAAATCCTGTCATCTTCGTGGTACTGAAACTTCAACAAAAAACAATTTTTAATATTCACATTCAGATACAATATTCATGGAAAAAAAACATTAAACTGTTTTGTCTTCTGTTGTTAAAGGGAAACTGCAACGCTATTTTTATATTTCAGGTTCAGAAAGAATCAGCACTGATGAGTGCATTTCAAACTACAATTAAAAATAAAATGTACACAGTAACTTGTAAAACAACCACTTCACATCACAAAATAGACTAAATTTCCAAGTATGCACAGTGCCATATTCTGAGTTTCAGTATGTGGCAACAAAGCTTCCGGTGACATAAAGCAGCCTTATTATATTTTAAACAAGCAGGCTTGTGAGTACATGTCTTTTAATTCAATAGAAATATTGCTCTCGAAATTGACACAGTTTTGCTGCAAGCAGATCACATTAATTAATTTCTGCTGTGAAATGTCTGCTGCACAACTTGTACTTATTTGTGCATAGATCACATTATGTTAGTCATTACAGTGACTAGTGATCAAGAAGGGCAGCACCACATCACAATTTTTGGGAACTCTTGCTCAGGGGATTGTGATTTTGGGGTTTGTTTGTTTTTTCTACACTGTCAATGAATTTATTTTCTTACTGATATTTAATAACAGAGCTGACAAATTGAGATGAAAGTTCCCCTTTAAGCTACTGACAATGACACCAGCATTACTTACCTGTGCTGGGTTCTCCCATTTCCTAAGGAAGTCTTCTTTGGCTTTTGCGAGAAACTCCTTTACTGTAATAAAAAAAGAAGATACATGCAAAAATGTAAAAATGGTTTAATTAAATCTTAATTAAAAGAGGACTGTCAAAATGACCTACCTACTCTTCAACACTAGAGAAGGACTTAATGAATCATTAGATTGAATGAATCATCCAGGTGGATGCTGCGCATTGGTGGTGTTGGAGGGGAGTCCCCATCACCTGTTAAGCACTTTGAGTGGAGTGTCCAGAAAAGCGCTATATAAGTGTAAGCTATTATTATTATTAGATTACAGTCTATGCAGGTTAAAATCAGATTGTTTATTAATATAGTGTATCCAACTACCAGATCATTTTCCAAAAGAAAAGAAATTTGCAAAAAAATAGACTTCAAGATGTTTAATCACTTGGCAGGTGCCATTTCATGTAGACAATTGCAGTGTATTCATTTTCTTCACAGGTAATGGGCTTTTGGTTGTAGTAGTCCAATTCTGTTTGTATCATAGAATTGAAATAAAATACTGTATAATGCAGAGTGAAATATCTATCTGGTATAACAGTCAGCTACGATGTCCAGAGGAAGTGTTTTAAGATAGTGAGGCAGCCACCTGAGCAGAGATTTCAAACTGCTCACATTAAGAGTATGTTGACACTAGCTGTATCTCTTGATTCATGTTCTGCACGAACAACAAACTAATGGAACAAGTAATAGGTTTACTCTATGCTGAAAACAGAAGAAAGGAAACACAACGTTTCGGCTCCACAGCATGAATTTAACCTATTACTTGTTCCTTTGCAGCCTACGCATGCTGATGCAGCTAACCACCTGAACATTAACTAATGCCTTCAAATAGATGTTTTAGAGTCCATCAATGTAGACTTAACAAAATGAGGGATTCTTTTATTCCATAGTCAAATTACGCAATCATTAAATGAGTTCACAATAAATGAGTAATGGTTTATGGGCAAGTGCGATCAGTGGATTATGTGCAAAATTAAAGGGGTAATGTCTAATTATATGGGTTAAATGTAATTGTGGGAGGAGTAAATTTATAGGTTTACAGGTTTCTAGCGCAGGTTCTTGTAAGAGTGGTGAGAAATAAATATGTACAGATAGATGTTATGCAACAACATTTACGGGTACGGTTTGTAATTTGCCAGTTTTTGTGCATGTAAACATAGCTTCTTTTGATGCTAGACAAATTTCTGTGAAATCAGACCCCTTTAGAGGCTACTTCAAACAAAGACTAAGGTGTTTATATGCTGAAGCATTATTTTCTAGAAAAATGTGGAGAAACAAAATAAATCAACACAAGAAAGATCTCATTTAGGATACCGCATACAATTATGGTCACAAAAAGTGAAAAGAGTATGCTGTACTGGAATCAAGATAGAGAAGATCATCCATATAGATTTCTTGGCTTAAAGGAATCCTCAAGAAGTCTTGAACAAAGAAGACTACAAAGAGAAGCTGATTCAAGAATTCAAGATCCTCAAAAACACTGACAAAGCCAACCCAATGGACCTCTTTACAATCAACAGTGAAGCACAACCTGAAAGAACTGCATTTAAAATGCAAATATTGGGAGTCTAAAACAAGCTACCCACCTCTGTTATCATCTATAAAGAAATGACTGGGTGAAATACAATGCATTTAACGGTTTTTCTATAATTACACAACAGCAACAGTTAAAATTCCTAAACGTCTCTCGGTGTGAATGCTTAATGAGTTTTTTCTTTTTTAAAACTTTGTTTTAAGCTTGTAATCCACTAATTAACCTCTTCTTTGAAACAAAATCACTCAACAAGAGGGACAAGGGAATCAGGAGATTGTAACTGATTCAACTGCAAAAATAAAATGTATAAACTATCTGGGACATTTTGTGTTCAGAAAGGTTTTACATGGGTAGATTTCATTTTTAACAAGAAAACAGAACTGAAATATTTACAACACATAATCCCTAAATTGGTTTAAGATGGAATCCTTAATGTTTGTTCACAAATTCAAAAGCCTAGGACATTTTTAAACAGCCTTTGAAAGTTTCTGCAGTAATCACACGAAGCACAACCAACACTGAAATTCACGACAGAAGTTTCAGAGATGAGAAAGATTGCCATGCAATAGTTCCAATTTCAGGTTGCCTACGGCTCTTTAGCTTTTAGCCTTGTTAGAAAAAGACAAGATTGCTGTCTGCAGCTAATGCTAATAAAAAAGAACAAAAAACAGTGCCTGTCAGATACCGTTTACTTTATAGTGGCTCGATGGTGAGCATGCTGAAATCCCCTGCTCGTAGTCCTTGTTCAGTGGAGGCAATGAGCCCAAATGATCAATGAATGGCAATGGCAATATCGGAGGGTATGACAAGACGCATACCTGGCAATTCCAGAGTGAAAAGGAAAGCAAAAAATGGGGGAAGGACAATCGCCCCAACTGAGCTCTTTGCTAATTGAATCCTTAATTGAACTAGTAAGTTACAAATGTTACAAATGATCAGGAGCTGAAAACAATTAAATAAATCAAATTAATCCTGTTATTTGAGCAAATAAGGGTTTAATATTGTTCCTGAGACCTCAACTGCAGTTACAATCAGCAGGTGTGGGGCACACAGGTCCAGGCCTAGGAACCCCTAAGACAATATTTGTCAGTATACAAAAAGTAAAGGTTATTAATAAAGCATTTAAGGCCAAATTTTGGGTATTATAAACATATATTCTACTTTTCAGTCATTTTTACATATATACTCCAGCATTTTTAAATATTACTCTAAAGTTAATTGAAAAATAAAAAGGATTATTAAATAATGTGCTTTTTCAGGTTGTGTTAACAAAACTTTTTAAAAGCAAAACTGTATTCATTCACAAGTGACCTTGTGAATTTATCCAAAATCATTCTGGCCTGGACCAGGGTGCAAAACACAAATATTAAATAGTATCAGGTCAGAACAGAGGTGGTATTTCACTTAATGTTGTTGAATGGAGCTACTAATTCTACCCACCTATCCTAGAAATAGGCTAATGAGCTTGATGGTATCCATAAATTCTACAAATATAATGGAAATTTGCATAATAGAAATTTGCATAACCCCTTTCTCACTTCATTTTCTTTTCTTTAAAATCCTGATAAATTTGTAAATCTTATAGATTTTCATTTAGTTAATTAGGAACAAGTAATAGGTTTATTCCATTCTGAAAAGAAGAAAATACAATGTTTCGGCTGTGGAGCCGCCACACCTGACACACCTGAAGAAGGCTCCACGGCCAAAATGTTGTGTTCTCTTTCTTCTCTTTTCAGCATGGAATAAACCTTTTACTTGTTCCTTTGCAGCCTGACGCAGCTAACCACCTGAACTATTTAATTAGTTATACTACAAACCACCAGCCTTTGCCAAAAAGCCATTTAGCAATAACCACACAGATATCTTGTTAAATTAAACAGTTCAGCAAGTGGAGAGTGGAAGTCTTTGAGAAAGTCTGCTAACGATATATTTTCAGATTCAGTTTCCAGGGCGAATAACTGAAAAGGAATAGGAACGACGTCACAGGGTATGATGTAATTCACTCCTAATTACTCTTACATTGGATAAACAGTTACACCAAAAGGAAGCTGTGAAAATACACTCATAAAAGAGCTTCCCTCTTCCACTTACATCACTGATAAAACATTCTATTAACTATGTTAAAAACAGTTCAGGTAAACAACAAAGACCAATTTATCTTTATTGGCTAGAATAGTTTCCTACTCTGGGGAATATCCCAAAAAGTCCAATGTTTCCTCATTACCCAAGGCGTTAGCACTCTGTCAATTCCCTCTGTGTCAAGAACTGATGCTTCAACAAACAGCATGACAGAGCACCTTTTGAAAGAGTATCTCTTTAAACGTGACGGATAACAATCCCAGCCCTGTGCAGCTGCAAATTAAGATAGCGAGTACACTAGATGATACCAGCAATTGGTTATCTGGATACAATGCCAGCTGTGCAGAGCTGCCTTTATTTCTTCAAAGCCATGGGACGTATCGTGTTGAACATAAGGCTAGAAAACGGAACTAGAGCAGCTTCCAGCTTCAATGTGTTCCACTTTGTCTGCTGGTTTAAAATAAAGGCCATCTTGGCTATGAGACCAGTAAACTCACTGGTTAAGGTCCATTTACATGTGATTATCCCTGTCTACAAACGGCAGAATATTTCCAGCACATACATATTATATACTATTCTACCAACCCCAAAGCCTTTAATGTTATGAATGGAATTGATTATTTTGAAATTTTATACCTACTGTATCTAATAAGGGGTGGTCAACTTCTTGTGACTCAGCCAGAGATTTTCATTGGTCACATTGGGAGCTCTGCAGTGCCTGACAGGAGAGTTGATGCTGACAGTACTCTCAGTGGTGTCACAATGCAAACTCTGAGCTGTCTGGAACGCTCCATGTGCCTTCGCTAGGACAGACGCCCTGCACTGGAGGCACTCAAGCATTCATATCCTGCTGCTTGGCAATTCTCATTCAGTCACATAATGACAAGGCCCTTTTTATAAAAAAGACACATTCCAAAGACTCTGCATCTAGATGCTCTTGTAGGCCTACATTTAGATAAAAAACATATCTAGATTGTGGTCAATAGAAGCAATCAAGTCCAGGCTTGTCCCTGTATAGACTTGGCTCCTGAGCATTTATCAAGTCTATATCTCACAATTACTGCATGTCCTCCTTACCCTACAGGAAGCAGCATTATTCTATGCAGTTTTGTATATTATAATACTGATTTATAAGAGTATGTTTTGTGAATCAAAAATCTTAATAATCTTAAAAATGTTAATGACTTAATAAGGAAGACTGCTTTCTGCTGGCTTCACAGCAGTGAATAAAAAACAATTCTACAACTCTCGATAAACCCAGAGTTTGTGGCAGATAAATACTGCATACACGTTTTTAATATATTGTAAAATTAGAGTGTACAACTGCTAGAATTAATAAGGCAAATCCTAATACTTAAAGGCACAGATAAGTTACCCTAGAAAGGCTTTAAAATCATCA